AAATTTTTACTATTGTCTGAGTTTATGATAGCCGTAACCTGGTAATTTCTTAATTTATCCATGTCTTAAAGGAATTTTTAATATCCCGGCCATGTTAGTTCTATAAACCCTTCAGCACCGGTTTGAAGTTACAGAAGACAGTATCTCCTTTACTCGCAAATCTAATAAGTTGAGCCCTTATGTTCTTCGTGGGTAAGGCAGAATCCTACATTTGCATATAATAAATTCATTCAATAACTATGAAATGGCGAAACAGGTATCAACAGACGTACGTACTTGCAAGAGGAAGAGGACGCCTTTGTACACGTTATCGTAAATTATATCACGAAACGTCATTAGTTCGGCTTCTTTAAATTTCTTTCCAGCAATAATTTTCATTTGTTTCAAAAAGGTGCTTTTTCCGCTTTCACCAGTACCCAACAGTAAAATCCTCTGATCATTACGGCGTTTTGGAGGAGATTTTGCTGTTTTTTGGGAAGATTTGCTAAAAGGCTTTTCACTATCATTGGCTTTCGGAGCAGGAACCCGGCAGCACGACAGGGCACTCACAAATCCCCGCATGTCGTAAATGAGGACCACAAAGTAAGGGGGAGAGGCTAACCTTGAATTAACTAATTAAAACATTATAACACTGAAGGACAGTCCTCTTAAAATATTAAAAAATAAGGATATAATGTATCGGTTTTGCGCAACCGTGAAATCGGCCGAAGAACATCCAACCTAGAGTAAAGTATGCTCAAATGAGATTTGCACTTGTTTGTCGGACTTAGGATTCAGGTTCTGAATAAATCGGGAACTTATAATTAAGTATATATAAGGGAGATAGGCAGAGCCTTTAAAACCCTATTAACATATAGATGCTGTCAGATCATGCATGAGGTCCAAAGCTATATGTACATTATATAAATCGTTGTTGTCTACCAAATGACCAGCAAGTAAAGTAAGATCAAGCTTTCTTTTAAATGCGTCGACGCTTTCAGCAAGGACAACTGAGGAAGGAAGTTTATTCCAATCTTCAATTACCCAGTGGGAGAAGAAGTTAGCCCACACTTCTAGTTTGGCATGGCGTGTCCTCAGTTTGTACGGATGACTGCGTAGATATATCGTTTATGCGAGTCAGCCATCTGAAGAGCACAGTCTACTCCCCTGACGAGTTTAAACACCATGGCTGTTTCTCCTCTGTATTGCCCATAATAGAGAGGAAAAGGATTGAACCTATCTAGACGATCTTCATATGGGAGACCTCCTAATCTGCTGACTTGCTTGGTCGCCCTTCTTCGGACTTTCTTCAATACCGCCTAATCTTTATTCATCCAGGGGCACCACGACTGAACGCAATATTCTAACATCGGCCGAACAAATGTTCCGAAGACTCGCCCAAAAAGCTTCTCGTCAAAATAGAGGAAGGACCTTCTGATAGCTCCTAGAATGCCCATAGCCTTCTTTGCGGTTTTGGCACAGCGAGTTAACGGTTTGAGGTTGGGTGTCGTGCATACACCTAGATCCCGTAGTTCGTTCACTAGCCCGAGTTGGTGACCTCCGATGAAGTAGACATACTCGAATGGTATCACCTTTTGACGACTAGACCATACGCGGATTACTTTGCATTTGTTGAAGTTTT